GGGGGGGGGGGGGGGGGGGGGGGGGGGGGGGGGGGGGGGGGGGGGGGGGGGGGGGGGGGGGGGGGCGCATGGCCTCTATTTTTCAGGGGGGGTTCGGGTTCGGGTACGGGTTGGGGGTCAAGGGGCCGAAGGGGGCTCCGCAAAAAAACACACACTCCCCTCTCGTCGTATAACTAATAACGCACTCGGGAGGGGGGGGGTAGTGGGGGAGGGGGTAAAGAGCGAAAGATAGAAGGAGCTGTGGGGTGTTTCTTATTCGACACACTCTCCCCGTAACCCCTCGTTTCTCATGTAGAAGGGCAGCGGTCACCGCTGTTTGTTATTGAGACATTTCTTGTTGTGTGACCCAGCGTGAGCCATGTTTCTTAGTCTAACCCTATTTTCGTATTTTCGTTGAAAAATGAGCCTTTTTTTCTAAAAAAAAAAATCTTAGTTGCATGCGCTAACTGTACACCCAAGGGGCCTCGAACCAGTATCCAGCCATGTGCGAAGGTGTACCGATTCTGGTACAAGTCAATCGACGGATACCCTGCGAATCGGGTTCTCCTTAACACCTACCTGCTGCGCGACGGGAAATGAGGCCGAGCACACAACGACCGAAGGACCCCTTCACGAACGAACGTCCACCAGCTGCCTATAACCTTGCAAGGGGGCATCTACACTCTTTCTTCGGGATAAGTCCCATTCCACGAAAAGCTGTCACGCGTACATTTAGGAGGAAAATGCTGCTGACTCTGTTCCGTCACTCTGAGCGTTCTGGGCTCGTCCAGAGCACCACGCAATGTCGGGCACTCTCCACGACGCCTCGCAAAAGGGCGACACGCTAGCAACAGCAGTATTGCCGCGCTGTCCCGTGCTTGTTGTATAACTTTCCGGAGAGCGTTCTCCGGGCCCCTCCTGTTCTGCTGAGAACAAAGCTTGTGACCGAGACCGAATATCCCACGCTTCTTGCAAAGGGCAAGGGTACCACNGGAGTCCCCCCCTGCTTTTACTGTGGTCCGGATTCGACGAGCACGTACCCCCCCCCCCCCCCCCCCCCCCCCCCTTCCGTGCGCCTCCTTACGAAATAGTGACACAGATACCACAAAGAAAGTGCTAACATTCACTGCTGTGTCTCGAACAAGTACAACGAACTGTTACGGATACTTGTGGTGCCGGGTCTGCAGGGCATAAGACTAACGGAACAGATGGACTCTACACAGCACAAGCGTGTTTTTTTTTTTTCTCGACACGACGCGAGAAGGGGGCGGATTGTACAAAAAGCGAAATCAAGCAATCGAAACAAACTTGTTTCCTTCTCACGAAAGCTCTGCACACGACCACGTTCCGCTAAGCCAGCACAACAAAACAGAGTGTGTGGTGCCCGTACAGCGGTATCACCAAACAGACAACCTAACCAACGTACTAAGGGTTGTTTATAACATCCTACAGTGAGTAAGACGCGAGAATCTAGTACAGCACCCAAACGACGAAATACTCCCATAATCTCACCCAACACCTCCCGATCATCCGCTATATTAGTGCTCGAATCCAAAGCTGCATGGCTGAGATCTATCTCCAAATTTGAACGCGGAACATTCTTGTTTCTCATATATTTCGCTGGAAAAGGTCTACCGCTTGACAACATTTTGTCCAAACGTCCAAATGCATGATGCCGCAGACGATGTCAGTCCCTCTCCCGTCACCCACCCCAGAAAACAACGCCGCTTTCAAGTGTAAAAATACCACCTTTCGCGCTAAAAAAAACTTCTAGAGAAATACGCTGCTCCCGGTGATGAAAATGGGTGTAGAGGAGCTGCTAAGGACATATTTTAGACACAGTCGAGCCGAAGTCATCACAAGGTCCAAGACCAAACCCACCAAAATCGCACAACAGGCTAAGGCTCAACTGCTTTCTAGGCACAAAACAAACCAAGATTTGAGAAAGAATCGGCGCACAGAAAGAAAAAACAAAGTAAGCCTTCTTGCCTAGAAAGCAACAAAATACTCCACAAAACAAGGCGGGGGGGCTAGGGGCCAGACATAAGTTTCAGAAAAGTTTACATCTCCCCAATTCCTGCCGAGGTCAACTCCCTCTTTTCACACACACACAGACAAGCACAATATTGGAAGTAGACCCCAAAACGCGCGCCATCAACCGTTTGCTGGAGAGAAAAAATTTCATCGCCATCATCGTCATCCTTTTCACGCGTTTCACTGGCTTTCCGGGGTCCTCCTTCGTTCATGATACCAGAATACCGTGTCGATAGAAGAACGTAAACACCCCGCAGAAGGCCACGGTGCAAGCACACACCGTCCCAGTAGCAACGACCTCAAAGAGGACGTCGTTCGAGTCTAGCCCGCTCTTAAGGTTCATGCCTGAGTTGAGGTATGTTCATGGCAACGGAAAGGTTGAACTGAACGGAAGACAAGATGGGAGGACAGATACTCACAAAAAAGGCGACGGGACGGGTTTTGCCGAAACTAAGGCGCAGGACGATGACAAAGATTTACCGAAAAAAACACTACCCGCAAAAAGAAAAAGAACATAAACTACCCGCAATAAGAACAAGAAAACAAAATCACGCACGCTTAATACACGGCGGTGAATCAGTCGCTCGCTGCTTCGTCCCGGACTGTCATCCACGGATAGAGGTGGGTGCGTCTTATATTGCGTCGCAAACAAAAGAAGAAAAGGCACGGCCTGATTTTGAACGAAATACCAATTTTCAGGCCGGAATGGAACCAATCAAGTGGAGGGGAGCCGTCCATCTGGTGGGTTGTCTCCCGCAAAGCTAGCTTACCGAAAATTCCCGAGACAAGAGCGCCAGCGGTCAGGCAGGTGGAGGCCATGCTGAATACCAGCCCCGCCGTGAGGATCCGGTTTCTGGCGATGTCGAGCTTCACCATCACCAGGGCTTCAGTGCTACGCGCTCTGTTTTGGAGCAGCTCCAGCACGTTGTAGATCGAGTTGATATCCTGGCAAGAAGGAAAATGTGGAAATACAAACATGGACGAGGTGTTTTGGGGAGAGTACTGATCTACGGGTCCGTTACGTTAATGGCTATGACGCGCGGGGCCCCTCTCGCCCCCCTCATGCCTGACACTCGTCATAAAGATGCAGCCTTTTTCTCTTTGGGTCTCTGACGAAGCTGGTGCTGCACCCAAACACAAGGCGAGCTTAGGGCTAGGGCTAGGGGAAGGGTTAGTCCAACATCGCCAGGAGCAGCAGCGCGTAAGCACCCACGGGCGGGCAGGCGTGGAAAGCACACAGTGCCTGCCACAGGCGTGGAATTTTCGGGCGGGTTGTGTACGGAAGCCGTTG